ATGTTGTTCTTTATCAAATTAAAATAGGAATGTGAAAGATTTGTATTGAATACATGTGAATAATTTTTATTATAGCAATCTCTTAATATTCATGCAAATCAATAACACACAAGCGAATCATTAGTAATTTATCAAATTAAAAGAGGAATGTGAAAGATCTCAAATTAAAAAAGGAATGTGAAAGATTTGTATTGAAAACATTAATTGAATGCATGTGAATAATCCCTATTATAGCAAGCCTAATAAACAACAAACACGTGGACCAATTAACGACATCCTACATGGCGATCATATATTAATCCTACGTGGCGTTAGAAGAAGCAGTCTGCTTCAGTATTATATAAATATATAGATTACGTATTTGGTTAAAATATTTATAAGTGATTGATAAGTAGTTGACGTGTTTGGTAAAATGTGGCTTATAAGTATATTTTATTATAAAATGACTAAAAATGGTATTATATTAAACAAGGGTATACTATGAAATTTTAAAACTAAACAAGGATAATGTGGTAATATACTTGGTCAAACTAGCTTATAAGCAAAAAAAAAAAATATCTCCTTCCCCCCCCCCCCCCCCCCCCCCAAACACTTTATTAATTATTATTATTTTTGTTTAAAGCTCAAAAAAGTTATAAACAACATGTCAGCCTAATTTTAGAACTTATAACTACTCTCCCAACTTTTTTTTTTTTTTTTTTTTTTTTTTGCTTATAAGCTCAAAAAACTTATAACAAACAGGTCAGCCTAATTTTAAAGCTTATAAACTAGTTTGACCAGCTTATAAGCTTAGACAAACACCTCTTAGGCATGTTTTTTTTAACTATATTTAATTAAAATTCAGTTATTTGTTTTTTAACTTAATAAGGATTTTTTATTTTTAATTTAATGAAAAATCTAAATAATTTGTTTAAATCATTTCACAATGTTTTTCTTATATAATTATCCTATTAGGGGTGTTCAAAAGAACCGATTGGAATCGGAACCGGTGGGTACCCAGAGTTTGGTTCGGTCTTTACCCAGAACCAATCGTTAACGGTAGGTTCTGGTTCCAAATTTTTGGAACCGTTACTGTACAGTTCCGGTTTCAGTTCCTATAATTAGGAACCATAACCGGAACTAAAACCGGACTATATAAACTAAATTAAAGATTAGGGGGGTTAATAAAAACTTTTGTAGAAAAAGTAATGTGAATACATTTATATTTATATTTCATAACATTTAAAGTAAGTTGGTTTGACTTTTGAGAATCTACCTTTACAAAGTAATGGAGTTTGTAATTTTGAATTTATAATTTATAATTTGTAATTTTATTTTTGTTAACAAGTGCCAGATGGGGGGGTATTTGTAAGTTTTTAAGGGTTTTTTGCCATTTTAAAAACTTTTGGGGGGGTCCTTGTAATTTTATGGGGTACCCAAAACCGGAACCGGAATCGGAACCGTTGTTATAGGTTCTGGTTCTGGGTACCTAGGAACCGGACAGTTCCGGTTCTGGTTCTAAATTTCAAGGAATCGTTGGTTCTGGTTTCTTCAAAAAGTGCAGGATACCCGGAACCGAACACCCCTAATACCTATGTCTATTTGAGCCTATGAATGAAGTAAATTAAATTAAGTAACAGTTCCGTTTTTATGTTTTTATATCTTATGTCAATATTTTTATCCCTTTTTTGTTAGAACTTTAGATTTTTTGGTCAAACATTTTAATTCAATTCTCCATTTATATCTATATTTAAAAGTTTATAAACTTATAAAATTATTTAAATAATATTACATAAAAATGATTTAAATAATAATACACTTAACAAAATTGGCCTGTATGTTAATATGTAATTTTCAGATTTTTTTTTTATTTGTATAAACAAACATATTCCATTCATATTTTAAACTAATTATATTCTATTTAGATAAGAAAGAGAGACCATTTTAATTATATATATATAATGTTAAAAAACTAGATATTGACTTAAAATTTAGAAATACTTAATGAGGATCTATTCATAACATTCCAATGGTTCATAAATAATTAAATTGAATATCAATTTGTTTGAGTCACTAATGAGATATTTTCTTTTTTTTCTTTTTTAGTAATCGAGACATCTAGACTAACTTATGTCCACTTCAACTAAATCTACCCCCTGAGCTTCTAATGAGATATTATCTCTTACACATTTTTTAATATCAAAGTTGCAAGGTTTATTCTAGTTCCACCAATTAGATTGAGGAATTATTGGGTATAAAAATGTACTTTGCTAACCTTCTTATTGATTTGTGATCTAAAAATAATTTTAAAAAATTAAAATTCAATTAAAATTTTTGAATTGTATTTTAATTATTTTAATGTTTGAAAATGTGTCTAATATAAAAATTTAAGAACTGTTTTCAAAATAAAAATTATATAAAACGATTTTTAATTTTACACCAGTTTTTAAGATTATATTCAAAAATTGTTTTAAAAACAATTCTTCTCATTTTTACTAAATGTATTTTCATAGGATTTATTGTATCTCTTCTTTTCAAAAACAAAAAATTGTATTCAAATTCTATATCAAATGGGTCCTTAATTTTTTATAACGTGTTTGATATATTATTCAAAAATTGTTTTCAAATTTAATATTATAGAAAACTGTGAAAAGTTGTTTCTTGATTTTACAATAGCTTTTAGAATTATTTCAAAAAACTATTTTTGAAAATAATTCGACTAGTTTCTATCAAATGCATTTTTATAAGATTCGTTATATCTTTGCGTATTCACCAAAAAAAAAAAAAGTGTTTATTTGTCTTACATATCAATATTATATGATTTAAAAAAATTAGTTGATTTTTAATGCGATATTACCAATTTAATATAAAAGAAAATACTTAAATATAATTGATTTAAAAAATGTGAATGAGAGCAGCCTGTGAGTTGGGCCGGGGCTGGCCCATTAGAAGGATATGGTCTTTTCTGATTCTTTTAGTAACAAACTTTAGAGTGGTCACACCCACACACGTACAAACCTAAGATTTAGGTTACCAAATTTTTTATATGTTTATTAAATAAGAAATATTTTTCTTTATCCATATCATCATCATTATACTAATTTTTTTTTTAATTATTTCAATTACCACGTTCACAGGCACCGTTATTAGAAAGTAATAAATACCATTCAAGAGAAATTATATTTAATTATGATCTTGGTCTTGTCATTTTATTTATTAGGAAATTCCCATTTGGTATAGCATATATTAGTTAAAACTGTTACCTAAAATTTAAATGATAAAAATACCCGTAAACAACAATGTTAAAAAATTTATAAACCTATTGAACACATTGCATAATTAAATAATTACATATAATTTATTCAAATATCCAAAATTTTACACAAATTTTAATATTTTTATGTAAATGTTTAACATTATTGTTTGGGAGTATTTTTGTCATTTCAATTTCAATTTTATTGTTTGAGAGTATTTTTGTCATTTCGATTTTAATCAACAGATATGATAGGATTTAGATTAGAGGTGAGATAATCCAGTTCACCAAACCAAATAGGGTAAACCGAAAACCGAACCGGTTATTCGGTTTAGCCAAAAATGTAAACCAAAATCAGATCGGTTTATAGAATAAACAGAATTTAAACCAAACCGAATATTCGGTTCGGTTATCCAATTAACCCGTTTTCAAATTAATGTGAACAAAATTGATAGGAAAATGGTCATCGTGATCCTAGTAAAGAAAGTTTGGCAAAGCACCTCAAATTTCATAGAGATAATATAAAAAAAGGCCCTGCTAAACCAAAATTACCTTTTGCTCAACACAATATGGTGATAAAGTATTAGATTTACCATAACCAAACTAAGTAATGTGTTTGAATAATTCATAGTATTAAAGCCTCTAAAAAGTAGAAGTATCCATCAAAATATTCATTAGATCTCTTGCTGAATTAGAAGATGCATTAGGTTGTTGAATCGGCGGTGGACTATTGATCGTGGAGCAGGTGAGCAACTGAGGATTGAAGATCTGAATAGCGGTGGAAACTACAATCGTGGTCGACTGTCGTCGCTGTTCCTGGTTCAAGGAACTGCAACACGACATCTGTAGTCGTCGCTAGTTGAGTGGGTGGTTGTGGTGGTCACTGCTCACTGGAGGTGTGTTGGCGAAATGGCATTAGCGATATTGCAGATTGATGGGTTTGGAGTTTCAATTTGGTGGTGGTTGTGGGTGGCGCTGGCGAAGATGGAGTCTGGAGAGTGGAGTGGAGGCAGACAAGAGAACAAGAGATATTGACAAAAAAGGGCAAAAAAATTAAAACATATTTTATTTATATACATAGAGTGAAACTAGTTTCGGAAATCTCCCAAATCAAAAACTGAACCGGTTTTTCAGTTTTTAAATTTTCACAAACCGAACCGGTTTACAAAAAAACATAATTTTCGATTCGATTTTAGACCAATTTTCGGTTCGGTTTGGGGTTTCTGGATTATTTCTCCCACCACTAATTTAGACTAGTTGATTGAAACCCCAAAGGGGAAAATGTAACCGACTCCCTATCAAGGGATTTTTTTTTTCATATTACTATAAAAGAGTTTTTAATTATCAGATAATTTATAAAGGTTTTATACAGTATTTTAAAACCCAGCCTAGCCAGACCAGTTCAACTAGGACCCAGGCCCTTCATCGAGCTGGGTTAAACAGTCAACTCAAAACCCAACAACTTTGCCCGGTTTCACCTCCGGTTGGTTATTAAAATTTAAAACATTGGTTTTATATTATTCAATCTTACAAGGATAAATGAAATAAACCCTAAATTAAAAAATCCCTTCAAGGTTGGTAGCTCTAACTCTCGTTTGCACTTACTGATCACTTGTTCTTCATATGTCCAATACTTGAGTGGATTGACAAAATCAAATAAAAATTCTAGAAACCAATTCATTTAAACAAGTGCTATTCAAGTGAGTAAGCAATTGTTATGTACATTTCTCACTAAAAATATGCACAAATATTGCTTGAGATTCAAACTTCACCATGTTTGAAGATTATATATATCAAAACTATAAATATAATCTATGAAATTATACAGAGATTTAACTCATTAAAATTTGGTAAATCAATACAAAATCATAAAACAACCAAATTGCAGCATCTTTAAGGACAATCATTTGTTCATCCAACATGGTTCAATGACTGGAATAATCATAAATCAAAGAACAATTCGAGCTATTCCACCACAAAAAAATATACGACAATATAGTGTGCTTTTGGCTGCAAAATTCATATAAAATGAAAATTTGATCGAATGCATGTCGGAAAGGCCTCTATCTGCTTCTCAGATGAGCAATTTCACTCCTTACTATGCAACCTTAAATTCTTCAAAAATTAAATAAGAAAGAAACTGAGAACTCACCCACTGTCTACATTGCTAAAGTTTTAGAGCTTCTCTAAAGTTAATGCTGAAACTATTTTGTAGGCCTTTCTTGGGAGGGCCTGAGACGGTTCCATTTTGCATCATGGCCACAAATTCATTGTAATCTATGCGCCCGTCCTGTAAAATAACTTGAAATATTACTTCTCGGATACACTAGATTATGCCAAAAATAAAGTAGGCAATTTAGATCTAAACAACAACACTAACCAGTACTTTGCAAGCCTTTCAAGATCTTATGGCATGAATGAGTGATCATTAGCAGAATCACACAGATTATTTTTCATTAGAAAAACCATGAGCCAAATGCTGGCTTTGGAATGAATTTTAGTCTCTCAAGTAGCGATATATAGCTTGACCAAGTCTTACTTAAATATGTTTTCATGTAGTGACCAACAGAACTTGTATCTTGGTCAAGCAAACAAATTAACTTCCTGTTGATTAGGAGGTCTGAAGTAGTGCTTTTGCAAATCCTAGATTTAGACATATTTTTAAGAGAGCAAGGAAGATAGTTCTTTTAATGCGTTTTTATTGTTAAGTTAGTTTGATGTGCTGTAAGATGAAATAAATCCCTTACATTGTCTTGATCAACTTCTCGGATCATTTCTTCTAGGCGAACATCCTCTATGCCGAATTCCTCACAAGCTTGTTGAAGCTCATCTGGAGTAATATAGCCACTTCCATCCTTGTCAAAATACGAAAAAGCAGCAAATAGATGATCTTCTCTCTCAATTTTATTCAGATGCAATGTTGCAGCTATGAACTCTCCATAATCAATTGTTCCACTATTATCTACATCAGCCTGAATTCAAGAACATGTGGTGGATTAGTGACACTACAATGTGTATCCATTAGTTCATGTTCTTTTGTGGCAAAAGAAATTCTCAAAAGAAAAAAAATCCCTTCTGGCAAATTTTTCCATACACACGCAGACCAGGAAAGCAAAGGAACCTAGAAAAAATGTATAAAAAACAATAAGGTGATACTAAAAAGTGGATTTCATAACTTTTTATTCCAATGAGTCACCAACACTTCCAGTGTTTTACCATTTAAAAGCAATTAATTTCTTTCTTCTTTGATTAAAAGGAAAACGTATTTTTTTTCTTCTTTCTCTCTCAAAAGAACACTTGATCCGAAATTTGACTGGATACTTACAGCTTGCATGAGGTCATAAATTTCAGACTCCTTAAGATTAGCTCCAACCCGTTTTAATCCAGCCTTAAGTTCTTCAAAAGTGATCTGACCACTGTTATCTGTATCTATCATCTTGAACATTTCTTTCAGACCAGCTATTTCTTCTTCGGATAGGGTCTCTGCAATCACCTGCAAGGAGAGGGGGGAAGAAATTCATCCTTCTGTTCGAAAATACACGGTTTCAGCTTAAATGTGAATATATATCTGGACAATATGTGAAAACTTCAAGTGCCGAGTAAGATTTCTAATAATAATGCATCTGGAAGCTAGAGACTCACTCGAAGAGCCATTTTCTTTAGCTTATTCATAGCAGAAAATTGCTTCAAGCGACTAAGGACTGCTGAATCAAGAGGCTTGTCAGGAGCGACACCATCAATTTGTACCCAAGGGTGACCTGCAAAAAGTTAATTTTAGAAATTAGCAATTAAAAAAAGGGGGCTGGCCCAGTTAGTAAGTTAAATCAGAATCAGTTACATTATTCATTCTAAACGGCAGGTGAGTTGACGAGCAACTCAGAAGCAGAACGGCAGCCATAACCCTTTATTAATTATTATATGCTTATATGTTTATGGATGAGAAGAAAGCATTATTAAACACAATGTTGTCAATCAATAATATATCTGGTCTTGGTGTCTGATTAGAATCAAATCAATCTGAAGATGCATTTCAAGATCCTATGACATGCATATCCCAAGGTGAATTGGATTATTACTTAAGCCATTCCTTGGCTATTCTCACAAGTCAAAATCAATGATCCTTGAGTTAAAGAAAATAGTCAAAAGGCAAAACTCACACAAAACTTCATGTGCAGTTAGCCGTCTTCTAGGGTCTCGAACAAGCATTTTCCGCACTAAATCTATTGCACTTTCAGAGATACTGGGCCAAGGGTCAGAGTCAAAGTCAAGATCACCATGCAGAACCTGTTCAAATATCCCTTGCTCGGTTTCTACATGATACATGCAAAAGAAAGAACAAAAGAGGGAAATTAGTCACCATCAGTTAAAAACTTCGAAAGAGTTGAATTTCAACCAGCAAAAACTTAATGCTCACCTGCCCAAAAGGGAGGCACTCCACTTAATAGGATGTAAAGGATCACACCAGCACTCCAGACATCTGCTTCTGGGCCATAACGCTTTTTAAGAACTTCTGGAGCAACATAATATGGGCTACCAACAACATCCTTAAACTTTTCCCCTAGAAAAAGAAAACCACAAGTTCTTAGAGAAATATTGGAGAGTCAATTCTACTTTAGTTTCTATGGCATGTCAAATAAGTAAATGGAAGAGCAACGAACCTCATGGCAATTAATGTTCAAACCACAACTACATCGAAAAAAATCTTTTCACAGCATCTTACATCATGTAAAGACAACTGGATATCACATTCAAAAGACTTTGCAAGAGTGATGACCATTGAAACCAGTACTTTAAGATGACCGAAGATAAGATAGCATGTAGAAAAGACTTTTCAAGACTGATGACTAATAAAAGAATGATTTACTGAATAAACGAAGATGCATGCCTGAGAAAAAGGTTTCAAGGAGATGTGCTTTAAGGAAAGTCTGTAGTATACAATTTTTTCTTAAAATGGCACTATGAAATCTGCTAAGCAAGTTAATAAGGTAACAGCAGGAAAAAAAAAAAAATGCACGATAATTTGCAATCACATTAAGAACAAAGACGGTAAGTAGATACCTGGTTTAAAAAATATTGATAACCCAAAGTCAATTGTCTTGAGAAGCGAATCCTCCTCCTGACTGATAAAAAGAAAGTTTTCAGGCTTAAGGTCACGATGCATCACCCCAAGAGAATGACAAGCTTCCACAACCCCAACTATAGTTCTCGTAAGTTCAGCTGCCTTTCTTTCTGTATAGTGACCACGTTGAATAATTCTATCGAAAAGCTCACCACCGGCACATAGTTCCATAACAACTTGAACTGCAACTGCATCCTCATATGCCCCTTTGATAGATACAACATTCGGGTGTCCTGCCAAGTGGTGCATTATCTGAATTTCCCTCCTTACATCCTCGACATCCTCATCAGTTAACAACTTCCTCTTCGCAATTGATTTACACGCATACTCTTTACCAGTTCCCTTTTCCACACAAAGGAAAGTTGTACCAAACTGGCCTTGTCCTAGTTTCCTCCCCAAACTGAAAACTTCCTTGAAGTTACCTGTTTCTGTCTGCAAGACTGATTCAGCCCTGAGTCCTGCACTTGACACCCTCTTCATTTGAGGGCCTTTCTTTGGTTTTGCAGGATCTTCTGGTTTGGTTTCGGGTTTATTATCTTCTTTAGGCATCGTCACATGTTCTGGGGGTTTGTTTTGAACTGGCAAGGGGGATTCAGGTTCCTTACCTGTTCCCTCACCAACATAATCTACATTACCATGGGTACTATTAGAAACCGAGTCCTCAGGTGACCGTGACCGCCACATTGCAGCGGAAACCGATTGAAAAAACCCATTTTTGGAAATGCTAGGTCCTACACAGGTATTCCCCATTGAAAAGCTACTCTCAATATCTTCTAATCACTTCCACTACTTTCTTGCATCAAAATCTAATTCTATTCAATCTATAAACACAACTCAGAACAGATCTAAACCTTCCAAAACTAACCATTATGCAAAGTCAAACTACTCATACACCACTCCAAATTTAGCAAAAATATAAAAATCTAAAGCTTGAATAAGACTTATGGAGAAACTCAATAAAGAGACAACCTTCATCAAATTTGTTTAATAACCTATGTATTAATATTTTGCCACCAAAAAGGAAAAGATTAACCAACTTAACCAAGTGTAGAAATAAGATTCATTCAACAAAATACAACAAAACTAAACGACCCAGATGAAAACTCAATTCAAAAAGGATAAGATTAACCAACTTAACCAAGTGTAGAAATAAGATTCATTCAACAAAACTAAACGACCCAGATGAAAACTCAATCCAACCAATTCAACTATTGATAAGTTATTGAATCTATCTTAGCACTACAACAATAACAACAAATAAAGATTCGTTCAAAGTGACTAAAGTAAAAAAGAAAAAGTCAGAATCGAGAGCAGAACAAAATTGAACAAGCATAAACTAAAATACCCAAGTGAGGAAACATGGAGATCTTGAAAAGAGAACCAAAGTTTAGTTTCCCAAGTGGATTTGACTTGGTTGAAAAGAGGAAGAAGAAAGATAAAAGGTGGGTTTGAAGGAAAAAGAATGTGGGGAGGACATGGGATTAATTAGAGCTTAGTTTATATCAAAAAGAAGATATAAAAAAGATTGGTAGTGAGTATATTATATTAATGTTGTTGGTTGAGACAAAACAAAACAAAAGAGTTGAGTTAATGTAAGAGAAAACGCGTTAGTTTTGGTTTGGTTTGATATATTACAATGGCCGGACTTCTCGGTTGATTGTAGAAGTGGAATTGGAAGAAGATTTGATTAAATAGGCTACAGTAGACCCCACTTCTCTTTTATTTTTATTTGTTTTTGCTGGTGGAGTTCGTCAAGTTTGGCTTCAAGTTTATTTTGAGTCCTTCGTCAAGTTTGGCTTTAAGTTTATTTGAGTCCTTCGTCAAGTTTGGCTTTAAGTTTATTTTGAGTCCTTCGTCAAGTTTGGCTTTAAGTTTATTTTGAGTCCTTCGTCAAGTTTGGCTTAAAGTTTTCTTTTAAGTCTATTGAAGGCCAATTTTTTTTTTTTTATTATTATTATTATTATTTTTTATGATGGTGGGTATTCAAACCAACTTATACACGTCTCAATTAATCTCTCATAACCTTAAAACTATAAATCGGATAAAAACTTTAATAGTTTCTCCTATTAACAATCGAAGAAAGACTTAAACTCAGAATCTTTAAAGTAATACATCCAAAAGTTTTTATTGAACTACTTGATTATTCAAAAGTAGTTTTGAAGGCTAAATTCATATTCAAAGTTCAAGCTGTGGATAGTATTAGGTAAGTTCTTAAAGTGAATATAAATTAATAACCTGATACCTAATCTTATTAATAAAAGAAAATTTCAAGACTCATCCTGGACAAAAATTTATATGAGACAGGTTGGTTTTGTTGATGGAGTGAGATTATGCAATAAAATAACGTCATATAGAGTAACTATTTTGAAGCATTGATAAAAAATCATGATTGTGAGCATTGATTCTCATCTTGATCTATTTTGAGAATAAGGGTGAATCCAAAATGTTAAGACAATTTATAAAGCTCTTGATCTTAAATCAATTCTGTAAGTTTACTTGGATATTGCGTTATTTTTCCTGTAAGAACGAAATTCCTTATAATGGATTATTGTAATTTTGTAAAGAGTACTATTACACTTACAATTTTTTTCATAAAACATTTTCATACAATTCTGATGTAGCAGTTCACGATTAATCAGTTTACAATGGGTCCTGTCTACCCAAATGAGAGATAACCAATTTTGAGTTATCACGTCAAGATTGTATAAAAAAGTTGTAAATCGTAGTTTTATTGTTTTGTAAAATGTAAATTGATAATCTTAAATGTCGAAATTATGAGCAAATGAGACTCAAAGAGATAATTTAGGGAATTTAATTATTATTTAATTGATTATAATTGAATGAATATTGCTTATTTATACAAAAATTAAGCTATATAATAAGGAAACATAATATTGTAATTATATCTAAAATCTCTTAGAATAAGAAAACATAATATTGTTTTACAACCAAGGAAACATATTATTTGCATTCCATTTTGCATTTTAACATTATATAATAGAATCATTCATATATTGATATGAATGATTATTTTACTTATCGGTCTCACCCTTTCTTTTTTTTTTTTTTTTTGCTAAGTGTCTCACCGTTTCAATAAATTAAAGAGACAAAACTATTATTATGTAAGTACCTTTTAGACTCATAATGAGTATAATTTTCTTGATTGAATATACGAATTTAGGATTGACTATATTTTTTCCATGTTCAGTTGCCCAACTGCTAGGAAACTGCAACAGTTATGTAACATAAATATTTAATGGGAGATGGGTCCATAATTGATCCTTAAGTTGAAGAAGGACAAATTAAGGAAAATGTATTAGATTTCTAGTATATAGTAATGTTACTAAAAGTGATTTAATTTAGAGTAAAAATATCACATTTGAAATGTAAAATGTTCAATTACAAAATGATCCTTACTAATAGCATACCTAAATTACACGTTACTTGTCAAATAAGCATAAATTTGGCATGGTCAAATTATTAATATAAAAAACTAATCTTTTTCTGTTATATTAGTATCCATATCATTTTATTGTTTATACCATATTAGTGTTAGCGCACTAGGGGTAATAATTTATGGGGTGCGGGGCAACCCACCCCAAATAATTCTTTTGTAGAATTGACGTACGTAAATAGGGATGGATTTTTTTTCCACACATCAAGGACCCGCCTCGAATGGGGTGGAGATTCCCCATATCAATCAGGGGTCGGGACGGCCTCAGGCCCAATGGCATTCCCCAGACTCGAAGACAGACCGAGGATGGAGGTGGTCATGTCCTCGACCCGACCCGATATATATATATATATATATTGATGATTAGTAAAATTATTTTTTTCTATTTTTAATTCAAAAAGTATATTATTCAGTAGACCAGATAAAAAATGAATTTTAAGGTTTTTTATTTTTTTAAATGAGAAGAGTCTAAAAAAGTAAATTAATAATGAAGATTTATAAATACGTTAATTATAGATCTTGAAATTCATCAATAAAAATCTTACATTATACATTAAAATAAGGAGATAATATGTAATCATGGAATTAATATCAACTATCAATGTATTTTTAAATAATCAGGTGGCAAATTAAAACACATTATTTCCTAACATAAATTATAGAAGTCATAAGTTAAGATCTATAAGCCAAAAGTTAAAACATATTTTTAGTTGTTATATATTTATATCAATTATTAGATTCTAAACATGGTCCCTATTATTATATATAATATATATTGTTAATATGAAAATGTATATAGACAAATCATAGCCCAAATAAAAAAAAAAAAAAATTATATATATATATATATATAATTGTACAATAATGTTCTAATTTTATGGATGATTATTGATAAGATTGCTTGCAAAATAACAAAAATTTAATTTTTTTCTTAAAAATGATATTATGTTATTGTTATTCAATTTATACATTTATATAATTACCTAATATATATGTAAATATTAATATATATGCTATACATATATATAATTACCTAATAGACATTTAAATGTTAATATATATATTCTTGCAAATAAAATATTTGAGTCCAAAAATTAATTAGACTAACGTAAAAATAAACCCCTGAATTTCCTACGGGGCGGGCTTAGGGATTTCCCTACATCCCCATCTTGGGGGATGGGGCCGAGTTCAGGGAATTCCCTTTGGGCCGAGCTCAGAGACATCAAATCAAATTTGTCAAGACATGTTACATCAATGTATGACTATTTGCACGTGCATTATAATCATCCATACCGTTTGAGAATTTTTTTTTTTTTTTTTTTTTTTTTTTTTTTTTTTTTGTTTTAAAGAAAGCAATATTTAGTGTTATGAGGTGTCAATTGAGTGGATTTTTATATAATATAATATAATGGATGAATGATTGGAAATTGTGGATTGTATCAAATCAAATTTTAAGTTGAAAAAGATTAATCATTAATAACCCAACATAATTTAATAATTTATATATGCTTTTATTAGGGATTTCATTTTAGTGATAAACCAATTTCTTTCAACTCTGTTACAGTATTTATATTTCAAATACATTGAATTAAATTGAAAAATAAAAATGTATTTTGAACCTGTGAAGGTCCATTGAACAAAATATGTAATAGCCCATTCAATTTGGCTTGTTTAATAAAATGAAACAGGCTTAATTTTCTTGGGCTTATATCATAGCCTTATACAGGGTCTTCTTTAGGTGAATCATAGTACTAAATTTTAATTAGTGTTTTTTTTTTTTTTTTTTTTTACATAATTTTAAGGCAGTGCAATTGAAATGACAAAAAATAAAAAATAAAATAAAAAAATAAAAATTTTTGTTGAGGTTTAAAGAGATTAATTTATATATTTTAGAAGGTTGTGAGTTGAATTTGGTACTTGTGTTTTTATTCATACTTTATGCTCAGTTTTGAAATTTTACTGTTTTAAATAATTTATATTTTAAAATTTAGTTTGGTGTTTTGTCTGTTTGTTTCCTTTTAATGTACCTTTATATGTTTAGTACTGAAATTTGTCTGGGCAAACCATGGTTAGTGTCACAGCTAGTGACAGGATATTATTGGTTTATTATATTTTTGCTTTGATCAAATCGTTTAGAAAGAAAATATTTACAATAGTGCTGATTTTGATTGTTATACAAAGCGATGCATTTTCTCAGTTTATAATGTTGTAATGACTTTTTCTGTGCAATTTCATTATTTGAAGTACTTAAAAAGTAAAAACTAATCAATGATATGTGAAGATGCAAAAAATCTACGGTTACGGAAATAAGGTTTTTTACCCATACAATATGCATCTATCACTTGATCTATTTTTAAGTGATGAGTTGAAATTTTCTCTCCTTCCTTATAGACATGCATACATACATAACATGGGCTAGAAATTTGAAACTTTTAATGTGTTTGGCTTTAACAATTAGACATACATACTTAGGTCTATTCGTTGAATTTTTGTATTCCTTTACCTGATTTTGGTTGATGATTCATTTGTTCTTTTGATTTGCAGTACTGTTACAAAATTTACTGTAAAAGAGATGA